AGACAAAGTGTTCCTACAAGTCTCCCCTATGAAAGGTGTGATGCGGTTTGGGAAAAGAGGCAAGTTGAGCCCCAGGTTTATAGGACCATATGAGATATTAGACCGAGTGGGAGCGGTTGCTTACCGTTTGGTACTTCCTCCTGAGTTGTCCTTTATTCACCCAGTGTTTCATGTCTCAATACTAAGGAAATGTATATCAGACTCATCTCAGGTGATTAAAGCACTGACTATACCGCTCGATCAGAAGTTGTCCTACGAGGAGGAGCCGACGGCTATTGCTGATAGGCAAGTAAGAAAGCTACGGTCAAAAGAAATTGCGCTCGTTAAAGTCTTACGGAGAAATCATACTGTTGAACAAGCTACATGGGAAATAGAAGATGTTATGCGAGTCAAGTATCCTCATTTGTTTCAGTCTACAGGTACGAACTTGAGTTAAATTCGGGGACCGAATTTTATAAGGGGGGGAAGATGTAATACCCTATATTTTAATAAGGGTGTATTGGTCATTAGCAAAATAATAATAAATAATAATAATAATAATAATAATAATAATAATAATAATAATAATAATAATAATAATAATAATAATAATAATAATAATAATAATAATAATAATAAATACAAGACAAATTGGAAAAAAAAAAAGAAGAAGAAGAAGCCTATGTTTATACAATGAAGGGATGAAATTAATGGGCCGTAACCCATTTGGTCAAAACTGACGTGAAATAGAAAAGAGGAACAAGGGATTTGGGAAAGAAAAAAAAACCTTCAGTCATCGTAAGCATCAAAGCAAAAGGGTTTCTGGTGCTCCATCCAATACCACGTTCTACTTAGAAGAATTAAATATCTTGACCCTCAACAGTAGAATTCTAGGTAACTACATATATGTTTCCTCCTATTTGAAGTAGTATTATTTTTAAAGTTTAAATAAATATGAGGTTGTAATTTGATTAAGAGTTGGGAAACAAATTGGGATTTAAGAAAACAAAAAAAAAAGAGATAGCAACACATTTTTTTTATTTAAACTAGTCTCGTTAGTTTTTGGTCAGACTAAGTGAAATTGGGATTCTAAGATTTTGTCAATGTCTAACTGTAATGGCGGCACTAAATAGGAATTTTCATAATAAAATAGAATAGTTCATTAAAGAAGATATAAGTCAGGAATGGAGGATTTTAGAGAATTATTTTAATGAAATAGGCAGCCTAACTGTTGCAATTTTAAGTGAAATCAAGACATGGGTAATCAAAAATAGCGATTCGTTATCACCTTAATTATAAATTACAAAACTAGTGGATGGTAAAACTAAGCTATAAATTGATTTATAGATTCATACACGAGCTAAGCAATCCGGATGTGACTGGAAATTAACCTTTGGTTTAGTTGACATCAAGAGGTGAGTAGTAATCTTACCGCAATTTGTATTTTCATAACTTGCATGATTTACACTTGATTTTTAATATGAATATGTTACCGATTATTTTAAGTTGCATGTGGGACAAGTCTTTTACTCGATATGATATCGAAATAGTTATTGGAGAAGATTATCGTTGTTTCAAATATTTTCGTTGTCACTAGATCTCTTTTACCGTTACTTGAATTTACTGTTATCGAAAAGAAATTATATGATTTGATAAGAACCGAAATTCCCTATATTGTTTTAAGATATTTTCTATGAGTATATACGGATTACAGAGACAAGTATAAATGAGAGTAGACATTGAAGGATCCCGTAGCTAACGGCGAGTTCGTTAGACGTGGTGCACCTTGTATTTACCGATTACAGAGTACAGTTATAGCCCTCGCTAGTGGGAAGGTATAACTAGCATACCGTTACCGATTTTCCTCGAGTAAGAACAACCGTTATATTTGACTTCTTGCGAAGAAGTCCACAGTTATATCGATTACATGATCCGTTCATTGAAACCTCCCAAAATGTGAATACTGATATTATACAGTGGTTACCGAGCTTATTACTGAATTGTATTTGTATTATACTACAAGAAAAGTATGATGAGACTGAAAATTATTTATTGTTTCTGAAAGGGCATTTTTATGTTGTTTTCTGTTTGATATATTAGCATGTTTTCTGACTTGTCCTCAAATTAAAAACGGTTGTGGTTAAGTGTTATTACTCACTGAGCTAGCGACTCATTCCCTTCTAATTCTTTTTACAGAGACAGCAGTTGATGCAGGCAAGGATTTCGTTAATTAGAGCGCACATGTTGATAGTTCTTGGTGAGCCTCGCACTTGTTCGCATAGGCGGAGATTTTATTTATTGTTATGGTCCTTTATTTAAATTCTTAGAGTCGCTCCATAGTCATTCTTTTAGTGTCATGATTATTATTTATTTATTATAGTCTTATGTTGAGTATCGTTCTTTATTATCAAAGTTGGAGATAAATTAGTATTTCTGGTTGTTAGTGGGTTGATTAGTAATGGTGGAGACTCGTTTTGGTTGATTGATAAGTTATCGATTATTTGGTGTGATATTATGATGGTTGGTTGTTGATTTGAGACAGAATTTTTTTTGGGATAGTCCAAAAACAGGGAAAACTCTGTCTGATTTTCTGTAAAATACCGATAAGGCTTACTTGGGAGCATTTGCTCCTAAGTGCCGGTCATGATCCTAAATTGGGTCGTGACAATATCTTCGACAAGGATTAGGTCTGAAGTCTTTACTCGGACAAATCTGCCCATCCAACCTCGATCTCAAGCCTCGTCTATGCTCGAGAATGAGGGTTTGGTTGCTCGGCGGTAAAGCTTGATCATGCCTCCACGATAGAGTCAGGGGCTGTAGAGACGCATAAGGTGATCGAGGGTAAAAGGATGCCCCTCGATCTTGCTTGCAAAGAATCGGAGGAGGATCACGATCCTATAGAACGATGGATGGATGTGGCCAAGAGTGACATCGTACCTCTTGCAAACTGCGACGATGATTGGGTCTAAGGGATCTATCGTAAAGGGGTAAGTGTAAACACTCATATACCCCTCCACATGAGTTGTGATGGATTTCTCGAGGGTAGGAACTACTACATCTTTGCCTACCTAGTTGCACTCCTCTTTCATCTTCTCGAGGAGATCTTCTGTAATCGTACATATGTACCTCGACATCGGTTCGCATCGACCCAGTGTCGAGGGCGTATTCTCCACCTTGAAATCAGCGGCAGTAGCACACTTTGCCGGATTGAAGTCCTTAAGAGGATGCTCCGTCGTGTCCACAGCGCCGGCGGACTTTGACGAGGAAGCGCTTTCCTTGTATGAGATAGTTTTTGAGGTCTTAGCTATTTTGTAGATGGGGAAGAATTAAACGGAGGAAGAACGCTTGGTGTTTTGCGACGAAACAAGTAAGAAAATTCAGAGATTTGAAAATATAGAGCTCTGAAGAAGGCAACGATTTTGGAAATTAGAGGGAAGAAGATTTGTAAGTAAAGTTTGAAAGATGAACAAAGATGCATTTATAGGTTGAAGAGGACGGTTCAGTGTCGGTGTTGGCCGACCATCGACTGACAAGCATTAAATGCCTAGAGAACTGAACCAATGAGACGTTTCAATCACCTCTGCCGTTTATGTCACGATGCTTACGTCATGATAAACCGAGGGAATGTTCGAAGACTCAATTCGTTTCTTCTCATTGCACTCCAAAAAATAAGGGGACTATCTGTATACGGTCAAAATTGGGCTTGCCTAATTTTGTATGACTAACCGAAATTGGAGTGGTAGATCAAGGCTCAGCCTCGGTTATATCAGACCATAGTACGGAGATGGATTGTAAGCTTGTGGATCAATGGCCGATCGAGATCGAGACCAGCCGTTATTGAGACCGAAGTGAGAAAGATATCGAAGGAAACCTGCTAGGTCGAATAACAGAAAGCCGAGATATTCGTGATCGGGCAAGGATCATGGCGGAAATCTCGGCACGTATCTTGTCAAGACCGGTTATTTATCCTATCATGGGTTTTGCTTCTGTAAATTAGAATTATACCATAAATAGGATTCTTATACTATATAAAGAGGATCCTAATCGTTTTGTAATCATAAGATATTAACGCATAATCAAGCAATATACTATATTTTTCTCATAAAGCTCTCTTAAGCTCTACTGCTCAGTTCATACTTTTTTAGCATACATTGTTGTACGAGGTTAATCTAGCTCGAAGGCCATAATCGCTCAGCATATTTGTTTGTTTTATTTTTCAGTTAATTTCTAACATTAATTCTCATATTTCTCAGTTTGTGCCAAGTGAAATCACGTATCCTTAAAACCACTTATAAATTTAGTTGTTCTTCAATTTTAAGGGTAAACAAATAATAACCATGCAAAGGAGGCGAACCCCGAAGGCGAAATCGAATGTGGTGGTGCACCAACGCATTTAACGTCGACATGTCATTAAATACAGATACAAGTATAGATGTCATATGCATTAATTTGGTCTGTTCGGTCTGTTTTGGTTTAATTTTACAAAGTTATTTAGTTACTTGTTCGATTCATAAATAGACATTAATCTCATCCATATCTTGGATCTTGTATTCCTAATAATATGTTCCAGGAAGACGAAGAAGAAGAAAACAAAAATAATTCGTGTTGGTTTTAGCTAGAAGGATAATAACAAACTGACAAATATTACATTTACAGTTCATGACAAGCTCGCATGGAGCACCTATTCAATTCTTAAATAAAAGCATATAAAACTATAAATCTTGATCAATCGCTAAAGTATCGGGAAACGTTAGATATGAAAGACTGATATTACATTTTTTGTAAAAAAGGATATATTTTTTTTAAAAAAATAAGCACTTATTAATAACAACAACAGTATATAACAATAAGAATAGTCTTCCGAGCAAGTACCAAATGTATAGTCCAAACATATAATGAATTTTCAGCTAATATTGTCCCTATTAAAAATCATTAGGCCAATTGAATCTTCTATTTAAGGGCAATGATCGAAGCAATCAAAAGTTCAAAACACATCTCGTTAAAGGTTTGAAAACTCAAGCATGGCTATGACCTACTTTTTAAGTTCTTTGTTATTCCTTGCAATCATCAATGGAATCCATGCAGTGAACTACTCAGTCACCATTAAGACTGCATCCGGTGCTCGATTTGACCGAGACATTGGTGGCCAATACACCCTTCAAACTCTTGATTCTGCCACCAATTTCATCTGTAACGATATCCTCAAGATCAACTGCCCCATCAACCGCAAAGATGTCCAACACATCAGCATATTCGTCGCTGATGACATGGATGGAGACGACGTTGCATATCAAGACAACAATGAGATCCAAGTCAATTCCAGGTAGTGAACCAGAGGCGGATGCAGCCCATATATATTAAATCTCAACAAATATTAAATTCTGAATCAATTATTTGAAAATTACAACATATATAAAATTAGTTAGAGTTAACCCATGCATCATGTTTAAATTTTTAATCCACCGCTGCAGGTACATAGAAGGTTACTCTGGTGATGTGAAAAGAGAAATCACTGGAGTGTTGTATCATGAAATGACCCATGTTTGGCAGTGGAAAGGTAATGGACAAGCTACTCAAGGATTAGTTGAAGGAGTTGCTGATTATGTGAGGCTCAAAGCTGGGTTTGCACCTAGTCATTGGGTGATGTCTGGCCAAGGTAGCAGTTGGGACCAAGGCTACGACGTGACAGCTCGGTTTCTTGATTACTGCAATTCTCTTAAAGATGGGTTCGTGGTGGAACTCAACAAGAAGATGAGAGATGCTTATAGCGATAGCTATTTCTGTGACATGCTAGGAAAATCTGTGGATCAGCTCTGGGAGGATTACAAGGCTACATTTACGTATTAGCTTTGCCTAAAACAAGTCGTGCATGATGATTGATGAAACGGACACTGATGAAACGTGGACGTCCTCGAAGCATTTAGCTTGGTTTAATTTCATTTTCCAATGAAAAAGCATCAGTATCCGTATACTCTCACATTATGATGCAAGAGTGCTATTTTCTCAAATGCTTGCCGTCCAAAATTTACTTTTTCCGTCTCAATTTACGTGCACTGTTCAGATTTCAAGATTTAATTAAGTTTTACATTGGTTGTGACTTTTTCGTATGCCTTTTAAATATTTTAAATTTTTAAAAATAAACTTATAATTATTTTTGGTTTTTATATTTTTTTCAAAGATAAATTTTATTTTTTAAAAATTTAAAAATTATATGATTAAATTAAGATTAAAATTATGAAGTTTGACTCACGAAATTCGATCTGCACCACATAAATTAGGAAGAGGATAATTAAGTAAATAAAGATGTGTTCTCCCTAATAACTTTAAACTTTTAACAAAAAAATGGTCACCCACCTCAATAGTTACCATAGTTCTACACTTCTCATAATGTCTTTGCAACCTCCTCATTTATCCATATTTAGGGCTGACTAAGAAGATATGGTTATTTTTGGGTAAGGTTATTTAGCCATTATTCATGTGATCTTAGAAAATACTAGAAACCATAGATTCTGAAGTTTACCAGTAAATTGGGAACAAAGAAATAAGTGTTGTGATTGAAAATCTTATTTTAAACTATTACTACGGACGTAATTTAAGACAACAAAATTTTAGATTTGCAATGGATAGATCACATATGTTCAAACTATTAAATACCTTCTAAAAAGAGAAACCAATTCCTTCTTTAACAAGTTAAATAAAACTTTTGACGAAATGATTCTCATAATTTTATATGGTGCCACAGTAAATTGGATTTTTATTCTCACCTATTATCAATTTAATGTTATGTATTCCTGAAATAATCAGACCCTTAATGAAAGTGAGACGGCAGTGCGAAATATAGAGCTGTTAGGGATATCTGTGTACCAAAATGCAGTTTTACTTATGGGAACAAAGAAAATTAAGGCCAAATGTTTGATATTAATTTACTAAAACTTTTTGTATACGGTCAAAACCGGGCTTGCTTTTTGTGTGACTAATCGGGATTGGAACATGATAGGTCAAGGTTCGACCTCGTGTTATACCGAACCATGGTGCAAAGGTAGATCGTGGAGCTCATGACCTAGAGACCGATCAAGATCGAGATCGACCAGGATCGATACCGAGCACAATCGAGGGAAACTTACCGAGCCAAATAACGGAAAGCCGAAATATCCGCAATTGGACGAGGATCATGGCGGAAATCCCGGCACGTATCAAGAAGAGGCTGATTAATTAGCTAATCATGAGATTTGTTACCTCATATTGAACTGTATAAAGAGTAGGACTCCCTGCTATGTAAAGAGGGTCTGATCATATGTTAAAAATATCATATTCACGCAATACAAAGCAATATACTATCTTTTTCTAGCTTTCATTATCTTGTTACTCTATTCATAAGTCAATTGAAACATATTTTGATTCAATGGTGACTGAACTCGAGGGCCAAGACTATTCAATTTGTGTTGTTTGTATTTATTTTTTTATCGTCAATTTCAATACTAATCCATTCTTCCTAATTTGTACCAAGTTATATCATTGATAATAGGTGAATTTAACTATATTCAGGCCCTAAATAACCGCCTTCTTGCATAGTTTTGATAATAAAAGTGATAACAAAATGCTCTTATTAGTGCTTTTCATGACTTGCAGGTTATATATGACTAGGGAAGGCTAGGGAGTACTTTTGGAGTCAAAAATTGAAGAAAGAGAGGTCATCCGTGAAATATCCCAAGTGAACCACACAAAAACAGGCTGAAGAATCAGAGAAATGATTCTGCCGCGGTTCCACCGCGATCGCGGCAGAACCGCGGTGAAGACTGCTCACGGACAGAAGGAGATTCAGAGGAGCTGTTTGGCCGCGGTTCTACCGCGACCACGGCAGAACCGCGGCAGGCGCGAGAAAGTTCAGGGACTAAAGTGCAAAACACAGGATTTTTAGCCCAAAACCCTATTTTAAACACTAGACTCCGCCCAAGAGAGGCATGTATTGAATTTTAGAGTATCTTGGCAAGAAAAACAATTGTGAGAGATCACCCAAAACATTTTTCTTCTTTTCTTTGATTTTTATTGCTAGTTTACGATGAATCTTATCTTAGTTTGTTTACCCATAGTTATGAGTAGCTAAATCCTTTGTCTAAGGTTTTGATGGAACCTATCGGGAGATGAACTTCTTGTTTATGTGAATACAAATTGCTAGTTTCAATCTTTATTTGTTCAACTATGTTCTTGTTGTAGTTAATTGACAGGATCCTCAATTAGTTGTGCCTATTTAGTGTGCATAACTCGGGAGAGAGTGCATATTTAGGTTATTGTTGAACAACACTACTCCCAAAGTATAAGAGGGATCTATCACTGCGGGTTTAAAGGCGGGATTAGGGATAACGAAGTCTTGAGTGCAATCTGAAGTGAACTGTGTTAATTAAAGCTAGCTAGTGTATCTCGGGAGAGTGCATTGAGTATATTACTGTGATTACTCGGGAGAGATTTGTGGTAAGATGAGCGTTCATGATTGATAGAGGTGTGTTGGTCAATTTGTATGAAGCATAAACAGAAGGGATTCCATCAATAGGGGAAGTCATTAACCTTAGCATTTTCTCATTATTGTTTACAATCTTAGCATTTTAGTTTACATATTCTTATTTACTTGCAATCTTAGTTAGCAAAGAAACCATCAACGGTGATTCAATCGTCTGGGGAAGTTGGTTCTCAAGAGTTTAGTAGTTCTAAAGATTGAGATTGATAGGTTAATTCTCTGTGGATTCGACCCTGGGCGGAATACTCAGGTTATATTTGCAACGACCGCATTGTCCTTTTTATAAGGCATAGTTGGGCGTGATCAAATTTTGGCGCCATTGCCGGGGAATTAACGGAATTATCAATTACCATTGATAGAAATACAACAAATTCTTAGTATAGTCAGTCTTCTCTATACCAAGATTTGATTGAAAATTTTTGACGGTTGTTGACGTGGTTGCACAGGTGTATGCCTAGAAACTCTACGAGGACTAGAGAAGTACTTAAAGGACTCTCAGACCCAGAGAAAACATTCCGGATATTGATCCGTGCTAACAAAAGACTTCAACAACCTTATCAAACACACAACCTCGAAATTGACATGGGTGACGTAGACAACGTCAATGGAAATGTCAGAGATAGGTCACTTCCTGTGCCTGAGGCTGCACTATATGACTGGGCACAACCCACAGCTGACAATCTGGCCACTGCCATTGTTGTGCCCACGATACAAGCTGAATCGTTCTAGATCACGAACAACATGCTGCATTTGCTGCAAAACAAGGGATTATTTTCTGGGACACTAGCCGAAGATCCTCAACAGCACTTGAAG